TCCACAAAAGAAGTCTACATTTCCTGAACTTGAAAACTTTCCTGGTCTTACATCCTTCGATTCTGTTTCTTTAATTGATGCCAGCAACGTTTCTTCTTCAACTAATTCTATAGCTTCGACCTCTATAAATCCTAAAAATTCTGCTGAGTCGACTTCTCCTACTTCAAACAACAAACATGAATTAGTATTGAAATCCCTTTTAAAATTGTTTGCTGATAAACGAGCTCAGATAACTTATTTCTCTATGAACAACGTACCTACTTTATTGCTTAACGATAATTATTTTGAGAATTTAAGAACAATAAATTTTGGTGCGGTATTGATGGATACGGGTATACGACCATTATTCGAAGGTATTCGATACATGAATTTGGAATGGGATGCTTTGTCGTTGGATGGATTTTTATATGCTCTTGGGAATGTTTGCAAGAATTTGGTGAGTGTTTTTTTATGAATTTATAAAAATTTTTGATTGCTAGTTTAATTAATATACGTTAATATACGTTAATATACGTTAATTAAGTTCACAAAAACAATCAAAAATTTACAATCAAAAATTATTTTTTTGGTAACATAATCTCATTATACTTGTATTTTTACAGGATTCCTTGTCAACAAATTTTGCGCATGACCCAGTAACTTCATCTTTATTTTTAAACAAACAACAAGCCACCGATCTAGCAATATTTATTTGTTCTCAAACTTCTCTATCCTCATTCATTCTCCAAAATTATCAATATTTCACCAATTATTTTTTGGAATCCTTAAACACCCAGATTAACTCCTTAAAACGACTCGAATTTTACGCCGTAGATTTTGAAGGTTGTACTTTTGAAGTCGTGGCAAGTTGTAAACAATTAGAATATTTAAGTATTGTGGAATGTATGAATATTACCTTCGATACGTGTTTCCCTTTGTTTTACACAAAATTTTCGAGACTAAGACGTGTTGAAGTTATGGATTGTAGTAGATTTATCGAGAAACAAACAATATATGATGATGATGATTTTGAAATTCCTGAAAGCCCTAAAAGTAGCGATTCTGAATGTGATGATGATGATGATTATTTTAGAATTGATACTTCATCTATGCCTTCGGTACGGAACGGTGGTGTAAGTGAGCCGATAATTTTATTAAAATTAAGAGATGATCCTTCAATGGAATATCATACTTCTTTAAAATCTTCAACGGTTTTATTAAAACCATCTTCATCACAAAATAAATATATGTTTTCAAAATTTGATCGGAAAATACCTGCTTCAACAAGACATCATATAGTATTACATTCTAATGATCCAGGTTTCACGACTTCTCTTCCTATAGAACTTCTTAAATGGGCTCAATCAAAAAATCACCCCGTTCCATGGTATCATGTTGATCTTTCTCTTTCTAATATTCTTTCTTATTTTACTTTTGAAAATATAAGAGATTTCTTTAAAATGTTATATTATACCGTATTATTTCTTATTGCTTTATATTTTATCGTGCCTTTTTTTTGTGGG